AAAAAAAAATGATCAAATACACACAAGAAAAAAACCCCCCCCCCCCACAAAAACAAAGAACACTAAATGAAATAAACCTGGACCTGAGTTTGATTCAAAAAATACTCTCTCATAAGCTTTAATTTTTGATTTTTTTTCACAAAAAAACAGACCACAAAGAATGTAAAATTAAAAAAATTCAGAGTGACAGTACAAAAATAATGATAAAATACACAAAAGAAGTAAAAAAAACACCCACAAAAACAAAGAACATTAAATGAAATAAACTAAACTCTTGAGCAAAATGAAATTCTCTAAGGTAATAATGGTTTCACATTTAATATTTTACTTGTGTCATTATTTAGGATAATGTGGCGTACGCATACTCTCATTTGTATCAATGATTTCTGCAATTCTGTTTTACTCTATGTACTACTTTATTGAATAAAACCTTCTAATACTCTTTACTATTGTTTTATGTCTGCACTACAGTGATGTACAGGTGCTCTATACGACTACACTTAGCTATGTAATTTGTATAAGTTGCTTGTTCTCTACTGCAGCAATTCAGAAAGGATGTATTTTGTTGTTTGTTTGAACCAGCATTTATTGTCTGGACTGTGTACTCTTCCAAGGTCTAATTACCGATGCTTCCCTGATGATCCCGGCTACATTCTGTGTGATAAATGCATGCATGGTGTTTATGTATTCTGTTATCGGTTTATACTTTGAAGAGCTGCCTATTGTTTCACAAGGGTTTCAAGTATCTATTTTAACTATTTTATAAATTTATAACAATGCACTAAAACAAAAATGGTGCTGTTGTTTATCCTGCTGATAGAGAAAGCAGCATCATGGTGATCACTGTGAAAATTCATATTTGCTGTTGTTCAGCAGCATTCATTGTACAGTGATGTTTTTTTAAAGCGCTGAACAAGCTTTTTATCTCTTTATTAAAAATGGTATATCATTTATATTTTCCTTGTTATTCATGAGAGGATTAGCTAAAGAGAAAAGAGGAGAAAGAGGCTGGATGTTGTTTTTATAAAGGATAGTCCTTAAGTAGTAAAAACTGTTGAAACTGCAGAGTTGGAACAAATACAGTCTGTTCGCAGTTCAACAAATAGGCAAACAAAATGGGAGATTTATCCATTTGGCCCACCCACCTGAACCTCCGACAGATCCAGATGGAAATCATTCATAATGCAAATAATGTATTAATTGGTGGTATCTCTATAGTTACCCTTTATTTTCTGTGAATAAATAACAAGTGAAATACTTATTCACACAGGGTGGAGGACTGGATATATGGGGGGTCATTTATTCCAAAAGGTATTCCACATACTAATAAATAGACATGTGCATTTTGCTCGTCAGAACTGACATTTGGACAAAAATCGGCATCTAACACATAGGGGGTTATTCACAAAGCTAGCCGAAAGGATCAGCCGTAGCTACGGCTGATCCTTCGGTTAGCTTCGGCCGCCTGAGCTCTTTGGTTCAGTAGAACTGAAAGGCTGCTGTACGGGCTATTCGCTATAGCCCGTACAGCTCCCGAAGTTGGCCGAGCAGCTCGGTCGAGCCAAAGGCATATGCTTCGGCTCGACTGAGCCAAGGTGAAAGCCGAAGCGGGCTGAATGGCTGGCCGTTGGCCAGCCGAAAGCTTGCTAGTGACAGCTGGGCAGAGCCAGCTGTCATCTCCGGCCACTTTCAATGACAGATCGGTGTCCCCTGGTTACCAGGTAATATCACGGCGGCTCCGCTGAGTTCTCATTGTAATGACAGATCAGCGTCCCCTGGTTACCTGGTAACCAGGGGACGCTGATCTGTCATTATGATGAGAGCTCAGCAGAGCTGGCCGTGATATCAAAGCCGGCTCTGCTGAGCTCTCATCGTAATGCCAGATCAGCGTTACAATGAGAACTCGGCGGAGCCGGCGTGGTATTACGGTGGCTCCGTCGAGTTCTCAGTGTGTAATGACAGTTTATCGTCCCCTGGTTACCTAATAACCAGGGGACGCTGAACTGTCATGAGAGCTCAACGGGGCTGGCCTTGATATCACTGCCGGCTGTGCTGAGCTCTAATTGTAATGACAGTTCAGCATCCCCTAGTTAATAGGTAACCAGAGGACACTGGACTGTCATTACAATGAGAGCTCAGTGCAGCCGGCATTGATATCAAGGCTGGCTCCGCTGAGCTCTCATGAGAGTTCAGCGTCCCCTGGTTAATTGGTAACCAGGGGGAGCTGAACTGTCTTTACAATCAGAGCTCATCAGAGCCGGCGCTAATATCTTCACTTCACTTCGGGTCAGTTATTCACACGGCTGCCTTCGGCAGCTTTGTAAATAACCCTCATAATGAATTCGAAAGAATTTGAATTTTTGATGCATCCAAATTTTGTGTGAATGTCATTAATAATGTTGTGAAACTTACAAGTGAAAAAAAACATAATAGAATCCTCCAGATTCATACTACACCCTTTGGGTCTGATAAAAAGATAAGTGAGAACCCTATGCCAAAATAAAATGTGTGATATTCCCCCTAAAATCCCTTACCAAACCTTCAAATGAGCAGCAGTTTGGCAGAGCAGAAAAGTGGGAGGGAGAACGATCCATCCAACTCCATCCAAATAGATTCAAATAGATCCGGATTCCGGGAAAAAAAATTTGGATCGATCCAAATTCCGAATATCGAATGGATCCGAATTTCAGAAAATGAAAAATAAATTCCAAAGAGAAAGGAAATTAAGATGAAAAGAAATTTCATGTCGTGCATAAGTCTACTAATAAGTCCTTCCGTCAGACCTGCTAATCCCCAAGGATGTGGGGGATGAGTCCCTCATCCCCATCAACATGCTGAATTTTAAAATACATAACTGCCATCAAATCTCTTTAAATACATTTTGGATCAGGTGTGAGCTTGCAAGAAAACTGACAATAATATATAAATGTAGCACAAATTGTAGGATTTTTGCTAATGTCCGGTGGAAGGAGGAACTGGTTCAAACAGTTCAGAATATTTGTTGAGTAACAGTAAATGAATTCCACACATCCAGACTGACACATCAAGGACATTCTTGTATAAAGCAGTAGGGATTACTTACCCTAAACCCAACTGATGACAAATGTTATTGGAAATCTCTTCATTCCAGAGATTGGAACATGCTGTATACCATTGGTTGTCAACTTTGAACTCAACTAAGCCACTTAAGCTGCTGTTGGCAATACGCACTATAAAAAAGTAGATATTTTATGTTTTTAGTTACGTGTATGATATTTTTTACTGCATTACTAGTTTTGATGCTACTGCCTAGTGTCCCAAGAGCAAATGTTTCTATTATATTTCTATGAAGCAAACCTCTTCCAGTTTTTGAAAGTCAGATTTGAATAATAATGGATTGAATTTTAAGATTTGGATACAAATTACAGATTCGAAATGGTATGAAATTGTATTTTAAATATGAACATTTTATAATATAGTTACCCCTCTTGGCTTCATATGCTTATATAGAAGCTTTCAGGGGAGAGCACATATATTTCAGTTTTTGCTAGATGCTGGAGAATTAAAGTTTACGTAAACCCTAACAATGATCTTCTCACATTTGCTTCCTTTTGGTCTGTTATATATACACCACGGAAAGGATTTTGCAGTAATTGGAAGTGTTAGGGCTACAGAACACTTCCTCCCTATGGTATGGAGATGAGAAATGGGAGATGGTGATCTATAGTCCTAACACATGTCTTGTCCTAGGTTGACAGTGCAGCTCTAAACAGGAAGTGTGATACCAGAAAAATCATAAAGTGAAAATAAAGAAAAAAAAACAATACAAAAAGGAAAAATATGCAGCCACCACATCTAAAGACTAAAATTTTTAGTACAATTTTGTTCTTGGGTTAAGATACACTTTACACCACCTAACAGTTTCTATATCTCTAAGGGTTTGTCATTACAATGCAGGGCACTGTTTACTTATTTTTTTCTTAACTTTATTTGTAGTGTACAAAGTGTACGCTTCATTAATGTCTCCGCACAGCAGTGCTCTACATTGCACTACTGTGCGGTATCCAATGTATTGTGTGAAAATGCAATATGTGCACATTTTACTGTAGGCCACTGCATATCACACCACATTTAATGGAACTATACTGTATGTTCCCTAGCAGGGACAGGCGTTGATCCAGTGAGGAAAAAATGCCAGTTACTGCTGTATGATTGAATGGGCTTTAAAGGAGAACTATGGGGTCAGTGTTTTTCCCCATAGTTCTCCTTAGGGTAACGGGAAGACACAAACTAGCGTCCTCCCGTTACCTTAAGCTTAGTATACCGCGAGCTACAGCTTGCGGTATACTGAGACGCCGCAGCCGGAGCGGATCCCGACGTAGATGATGGAATCCGCCCAGCTGCGTGAGTGACAGCTGGCTCTGCCTATCTAGAGGCAGAGCCAGCTGTACCCGCCCCCTCCCCCGTCCGTTCCGCCAGTCAGCGTTGGCAGATCGGAGCGGGGAGAGGGGAATCCAGCCCCTCCCCCTGTCACAGCAGAGAGCCGTGACAGGATCGAGAGGTGAGCGAACCTGGTATGTGTTCGCTCACCTCCCGATCTACTGAGCTGACCTGTGACAGTCGGATAGTTCTCCTTTAAGAGTCTCAAGTGGTCACATTTCTGCACTTGAGTTCCCACCTTTAGACAACCACCATAATGGACACTGCAAGGTGATCCACTGACTTTGTTGGATTTTTAACTTTTTGGAGATATGTTATGGTGAGTGAGCATATTCAAGGTGGGCAAGAACACAGTAAACTCTAAAGGTGTCCACACACACTCTCTACATCCAGTTATTCTTAGATGGATCTGACTATGATTTAATGTCTATAGAGCATCTGTAGACAATGATGGACAGGGCTCGGCAATGGATGGGGGTAGTCACTGGACAAGCTAGAAAACCTTGTTCAATAATTATTTTATCCCTCGTGCTGGAGATATAGTGCACTTCCACTGCAACACATTTGTGAAAGGTCAGATCATGTTTGTATTTCTTTCTGTGGCCAGTTTAGGGTGGACAAGAACAGATTCCCAAAAACTCTTGCATCTACGCTAAGCTCATGTAGAGATCACCTGTACCCCAAGGGAATTACCCTGTATGAACAAGATCAAGGGTCTCAGGTAGAGACTTTAACTTCAGGAAACAAAACCAATAAAGGCAGCAGGCGGTTGAAGTTATCTTTTTATGGCTGCAAAACTCAATCATCAGTTTTGTAAGCACTCACAAGTAACTTCTGTAGCCAGGACATTAGCACATTTTACTTGAAAGGTTCACTACAACAGAGAGTTGCACTAATGTGGGCTGGTACTGTAAAGGCATTCATCTATTGGCAATATCTTACCACAGTTCTTTTCATCAGACCCATCAGTACAGTCATTGTGCCTGTCACAGACATTCCTCAGTGAGATGCACTCTCCATTGTTGCACTGGGATGATGTTGACTCACAAGGAGCTGGAAAGAAGAACATTTATTCATTTATATATGCACACATAGAACTTACTGCAGATACAATGGATGTAACCAACCCACATGGGCCTATTTAAGTATGTTATTAAACTTTGTCCTGTGTAAGACGTTATGCACTATTTATAATTTGGAAGACTTAAGACACTATTTTCAAAAATAATAATATTTACTCTATAATTGACATTCTTAAAATATCTAATATATGTTATTTCATGAAAATTTTAGTTAAGATATTGTTCTAATCACTTAAGGGGCAACTTAATTTTTAGGTAAATTGTCCTTTAAATCTTCCCCAACCCACTGCAGTTGAAACTACTTACCTAAATAATCATTTTTCAGTGTTAGAGATCTTTATTGTGTGGTCCTGTTATCACCGCATAGCTACCTCCAGCTTCTTCTAAACATGCATGTCACTTACTCCAATCATTCTATGGCTGGACTGTGCTCATGCCAGTCCCTATACCAGCCATAGGTATGAAAGTGGTAATTTGTAGCTAGCTGCCACTGAGGAAGGTGGGCTTTAAGGACAACTTCACAAAAGGCAAAATTGTCACCTAGTAAAATCAGGATAGTAAAATCTGTATTGAAATAAAGAAACTGGTGTCTTATGACCTTTAAAAATATTCCTGCTTTGTTCTTATTTATGTTATCTCTTGTCCTTGGACATGAACTATAAATACACTGATAAACACACTATAAATACACCCCATCCTCCCTTTTAAGGTTCATTAGATGCCGTACCTCTGAAGTTCTAATAAATAATGGAGTCACAATGTTATTCCACCTGGTGCCAACACAGATGTCAAAATTAATAATATAGATTATATTTTGGTCACCAATTAGGCAATACTCTAGTCATTTCATTTATGACTGCTGGTTTATCACTAAGCTACTAAAAGGTCTCATTCGTGATGCATCAGATCATGACCTCATTATCGACCGTGCACACAGGATCGTTAAACCATCTTTTCTACCCGACACGGTCCCTAGAGATGTTCTGGTCCGCATTCACTTTTACCACACTAAAGAAAGAGCAATGGCAGCTGCGAAGTCTCAATCTAAATTACCACCTCACTTTGACGGCATTTCTTTATATGCGGATTTGTCTCCACTGACTATTGCCAATCGTCGCAAGCTCTCGCCCATATCTGCGGCTCTACGACAGCATCGTATCCTCTATAAATGGGGATTCCCAACCAAGCTGATCATCTCATATAAGGGGAAAACGTATCCTGTCGCCTCGGTTGAATCCGGAGTCAAGCTTCTATCTGACTGGAACATAGTTATTTCAATACCCACGGAGAAGGAAACCATAAGCCCGGGAAGAATCCGCTCAGAATGGACCTGAGAAGCACCTTTCAAAAGGCACTAGGAAGTCGCTCGGTTATCTTTCAGATTACTTATGACTGGTATTTTCTCCTGTAACACGCTACAGTAGATATTTTGGTTATTTTTCTCTAGTTTTTATTTTCTTGAGATTAGGTACGCCCGAATCTCCTCCTCAGGTCACCTGTCGGATCCCTTTTTCCTCACGAATGGCACCCGCCAAGGTTGCCCTTTATCACCAATTATATTTGTCCTGTAGATGGAACCTTTGGCACACATGATCCGATCAGATCCTACTATATCGGGTATAACAATTGGTAAAATAACCCACAAAATTGGGCTCTCTGCAGACGATGTGATCCTCACTCTCACCAACCCCCAAACTTCTCTTTCAGCGCTGTATTCTACCCTATCCACATTCAGTGAAGTCTCCCTCTATAAACTAAACACTTCTAAATCACAAATTTTGGACTTTCATTTATGACTGCTGAATATACATGTCGAATTGTTAAGACTTTAAACAGCTGTGTCTTTATGTCCTCTACATCTGTGCTTTTATGTAAACAAATACTTTGAAATTACAGAAATATTTTGATTTATGTGATGTGAGAAATTTGTTAATTGGATGTTGTCTACTAAAGTATAATTATAAAGGGGGTGTCAGGTGCAAACCTAAGGATTGTTTTCTGCTTTCTATCAGAATACTTGTCTTTCTGTACAGCTGGCTAAAGACAATAATAGATTAACAAAAACACTAATCTTCTCTCTCATTTGAATATCTTCCTCAATTTTGGTTCTGTGACTTGGATTTAAATATCCATCACCTGTGAGGGAACCCACAGCCTTAACATCCAATAGTTGTCAACAACATCAAGTGGCAAGGTAAGAATTTATTCTTACTAAGTGGTATTTAGCTGTTAGTACAAGAGTGTATTCTCTCACAAGCTGGGGCCCCATTTTGAAAATCAATTTGGGTTCTCTCAATAGCAAACAGATAAGTATAGTTTTGTGTGCTAGTTTTGTGTTTGTTATTATCATTCTAATTGTTCTCTTTTATATATATTTTTTTACAATTTGCAATTACTCTTTGGTATATACTGTCACTTAAAGGATGTGTCAATGTGTGTTGTCTCTTGAGAGTGAGTCTATGTGAATTTGTATACAGAGCACTACAAAGTCTTTATGTATTAGGTGCATTTAACACTCTTGTCCCTGGGGCTTGGACATTCCAACTTTGCTTTCTTCTTTATTTTGCTTATTTTTTTTCTCAATTTACAGTATTTCTGAGCTTGACATGCTTCCTTACAGGAAACCCTGAGACCTACACAGTGGCACTCTGCTTTATGAAATGTTTGATGAGGGAATAAAATAATATCTTTTACAAAGTTTACATCAAAAGATAGGGTAATACCCAAAACCATTTTATTACAGTATATACAGTACTTGAATCTGTCTTACCAACAACACAGTTGAGTACTATCCTTAATACTTTTTTATTTGCACTAACATGTAAATTTTGAGTACAAGCTTTTGGGGCCTTCCCCTTCCAATGTCCAAGCTGTATTGTTGGCTTGTCAATTTCTTCTGAACATTTTGCTAAACCTTTTTGTACCAGTACTGCTTGGCCCTTAGAAGAAAGGGGTAGACCCTGAAAGCTTGTCCAGAAAATGTAACTGTTTTTGCACATAAAAAGGATCGTGGACAGTACTCAACCGTGTTGTTGTAACAGTGCACTAATACAGCTACATAGCGTTAGAGAATCACCTGCACACCATACAGCTCTTAAACCAAATGAATTATGCATTGGTGCTCAAAATGATGACAACAATAACAATAACAATCCAAGTAAAGATAGTAGTCACCAGCACTCACTTGTAATGTGCAAAAAGGATAGCACTTTTATTGATATGTGACATTTGTCAAGATGTCAACATTTCGGGGCCACGCAGGGTCCCTTCATCAGGGTGACCTCATGACTCATGATAGTGATGACTTATTGGTCACGATGTCGCCCTGATGAAGGGACCCTGAGCAGCCCCGAATCGTTGACTTCTTGACGCATGTGACGTATCAATAAAAGTGCTATCCTTTTTGCACATTACAAGTGAGTGCTGGTGACTACTATCCTTACTAATGCAGCTACAATCACCTTAAATTTAGAGAACAATTAGTTAATTAGAATCCCTAAAAATACACCAGAGTAATATGAAAGCATTCTTTTTATGGCTACATATTGATATTGCTTCCACTAAAATCAGCTTTACTTCTATTAAAGCCTTGTCCTCTCTCGTGAAACAAACTCTTAAACAATCACAATAATTTGAACAGTATACCTAAAAATAAAGATAATTATCCAATCAGTGCTTGGCACTGCATTACTTTACCTGAAAAGAAGAAACATAGCTAGCTGTAAATGTTTGTATTCAGTGTAGAAGGAATGTGTAAAAATCTGTAAAATGCCGTATTGTTTGGAAATAAAATAACTATGTAGATAAGTGAGTTAGTCAGAGCTGTGATTGATTCTTGAATGTTTTAAAAGTGTTCTTAAATGCAGAAGTCAGTGAAAAGTTACAGTACTGGTGTAAAAAATGAATTCCTTATCTTAAAGAGTAGCTGGCAAGAATCTGTGGTGAAGAAACTTCAGTCCAATGCACATGTTGTGTGTGAATAGCCATGGCCAGCAGTCATGCGGCCAGATTTGTACCCTCTACAAGTAAATAGCCCTCGCCAATGCTGTTTACATGTAACCGCTCATACGAATGATTACATGCAGCTAGGGCCTCTGGTGGTTCTGGACACATCCGGTATGTATGCATCCATATTACAGAGTTCTGCTGCACCCAGATGCAGTGTTTAGCTGCTTCTAAACACAGCATCCTAATCTCCTGTATGAATACGCCCTTACACCATTTAGCGTATAACAATAGATCTGAGACACCTTTTATATTTCTGTATAGGAGAACTGAACATACTAGATCAATTGCTTGAGGTCACCAATAAGAGGTGACAGTGAGGGATCCCAGCCCAACAAGTTTCAAATGTGTAAGTTAAAGGAATGTTTGATTTCTAGCTGAATGCTAGTTGGTTTGTAAGACCAGCAAATGGCAATGATTTAAAGACACAAGTGTTTAAGAAAAGTAGCTAGAAAATAATGCATTAGTTTGTACATTTGCATGGAGATTGAACACTAATGTTTCTGCTGTTTTTAATTGTACAGAAAATAAATATGTTGAAGAATACTAGACAAGTAAAATTTGTTTAGTTCCGAATTGATATTCATATAACTTTTGTTAAATTCGGATGAAAATGCAAACAAATTCGAATGGTCCTTTACCGAAAATTCAGATCCGTATAAATTTCGTTCAAAACAAAACTGAATTGGACATGTTACTGTACTCTGGCCAATCAGATGCGTGGGGTTACATGTCTATTGAAGATATGCCCTATAAAAACAAGTTTCCCTAACATTAAATCCATAGGGCATTATTAAATGTGAACTCTTTTTTAATTTTTAGCCATGAAGTGCATAGAAATATGAATATCACAAAGAAGACATGTTTTTCACAGTTTAATTGGACATCTAACCACTTACAAATGTTTGCACTATTTTAGCTACGGGACCTTGATAGTCTCGGTCAGTCTACGCTAAGGTTTGTGTA